CGACCCGCTGCTGGACCAATGAGTGAAGCACAAAGTTATTATGTATGTTGATTTAAACTTATGTTTTTTTATATTTTATGTTATTTATTTTATTTTATTTTATTATTTTTTTTAATGTTTATACTTGTTAATTAGTTGCAAAATTAAATTTTCTTCAGGCAATTGCTCAAAAACTTGCTTTATTTTCTTTTGAAGAAAATTCTCATTTAATTATTGATCATATGACAACTGAAGAATATGCCAGAGATTCTTATGAAAACCTATTATTCTCAATTTGTCGTTTTACAGAAGTGACTGGGCATTATCCACAAAACATAACGGTCATAGGGTTTGAATTTAAGCGAAAAAGATTTTTAGATTTACATAGAGCTGCAATTAAATTTCCATTAGACAGGTATTAAATTACACTACATATGATACAATTTCTGTTTTTTTTTTTTTTTTGTTCTAATATAAAGAAAACATTTCAAGGTTTACTTATATAGGAATTGATTCAGTGAACGTGAAGTCGAATAAAATTGGAGTAGGTTGAACATTAAAAAAAATATATTTATATTAATTTTATTTTAACTTAATTCTCTTTATATATTATCACTACAGATAGATAATGCATTAGAACCTTTTAAACAAGATATTTATGCTTGTCATGATGGTATACTCCGAAATAAAAAACTTGCAAGAAATCCGTTTAGAAGGAGGTGTGAAATTTTATTTTTAAATTATTTATTTTATTATTTTTATTATTATTACAATACGTTAACATCTTTTCTTTGACAGACATCCTTATCATTTAAGTTGTCCCTCTCTTAGTGAATTGATAAATTACTGCCCTCGAGATCCTACATTAATATATCCAAATAAACTACCTTGGGAATTTTCATAAATCACAAAATAGAACACTTCTTAGACAATAAACTCAAATATTATAGATACTTAACACATTATATTTAATACATTTAGAGTGTTTGTATTAATAATTTCACTGCGAATTTAATTTTAAAATATTGAACAAAAAAAAAATTATTTTATCTTTATATAAAGCATACGAAAAAAAAATTATTTTATCTCTATATAAAGCATACGAAAAAAAAATTATTTTATCTCTATATAAAGCATACGAAAAGAAATTTTTGGTTTACATAATCCGGCCAAGTCCAAAAATTGAAATCATAATTTTTTTTTATATTTTAATTAACCCATTCAGATAAAACAAAGTTTATTATCTGTACTTTTCAAATCATTTCATTTGCGCTAATTTAGTCTGTAAGTATAAAGATGAATTATTAGTCAGTGGAATTAAAAAACAGTATTAATCTAATGGGTGAGTATAAAGATAATTTATTAATTAGTGGAATTAAAACAGAAAATAATGCTCACATAAACATTTATAATTATGAATGCTTTACACCATTACCTAATACTCTTCAAACCATTTCATTCGCACTAATTTAGTCTGCGAATATAATGATTTATTAATCGATGGAATTAAAAATGGCAAATGTCGTCTGAGCTAAGTACTATTTATTTTCCACAACGGCGGGAATAAGAGGTACATCCCTGGTCATCTGGAGGCCCGAAGGGCCCACAGCGGGGTGGAGATCTGCCGGGTTATTTCCCCATAGCGGCGAAATAAGGGTATTATTCTTCGTTTTTATATAATGTCATGACGGGCTTTACGACTCATAATCACTGCTTTGATCAATAAAAAAAATCGAGTTTCTAGCAATGTTTGCTATTTCCTCGGTAACGCTTGTTATTTCCCCGGAAGTCCGGGGAAATAGCAAACATTGCTATAAACTCGATTTTTTTTACTGATTAAAGTAGTGATTATAAGTTGTAAACCCCGTCACTATAGAAACGTGAAATAATTTTTTTTATTAGACCTTTTTTTTTTTTGTGGTCATAATAACTGATAAAATCTAATGATCCCTTAAATTGTAATTTTTTGCTTGATTTTAGATAGTCAATTGATGTGTACGTCACTAGAAAGTACCCTAAATTTAAAAATTACATAATAGAACTTGCGTCTAACCGATTACCCCATCAGTTAACCGATTACTTTTTTCGCCAATCAAATCAACAACAAATCGATTACTGTTACGTTTATTTATGCAGTCAAATAAAAATCTATCCACTACCGATCGGTTTAAATTTTGGAGTACAGAAAAAATTAGCCCAGATGTGTTCATAATCATGTTCACAAATACTTATACATAAATATTTATTTACCATTGCCTGATACCCTTCAAATCAGTTTATTCACCTTAATTTAATGGGTGAATATATAATCTGTTGAACTAAAAACAGAAAAATCATGTAAATACCGTGTTCCTCCGAAAATATGCACGCTCGCAATATCCAAATTTGGCCCGTATTAGAACTGTCTTGGCCGGCATTATGTGCCTATTTTCGGAGGAATACAAAATATACCTATTCATGAATAATACTCTTCATTCGCCTTAATTTAGTGGATGGGTGAATTTAAAGGGGTTTTATTAATCAATAGAACAGAAAAATCATGCCCAAAAATCTTTTCATGGATACTTATTCGTGAATACTCACTGTTTCGGGGTGAATTGTACGATTTAAAATTTACTGTATTTCTCCGAAAATAAACCCCCTTTTTGCACATAATGTTGGCCAAGATATTTATAATTCAGGCCAAATTTTGCATAATGCAGGCCAGGGGTATTTATTTTCAGGTGGTGCCGGAAGAATACGGTATATGATAAAACAGAAAATTTATAAAATAAGGTGACCTGCCAAAGGCATAACTATGGTAATTAGTCATATACTGTAATCAAAGGAAATTTATTCTCTGTTAGTGTTATTATGTGTTTCTAACTCGTGCACAAGTTTTATAACTGATAATCAACCTCACTCGAGTTACGTCTCCTTAAATATTTCTTTTGAGTTTGGGATTTTTTTTTATTAACAATAGTTATACTATAGCAAAACTAGACAAATTTCAAATCCAATTTTTAAAATTAAACTTAGCCAAATTACAAATCCTATTTCAAAATTCCAAATCCCAAACTCTAACTAAACCAACGTTCTAATCTAAATTCCATATCTCTTGTTTTATTTAAATTGGTAAATACAATATTTGTATAGTATTTATACTAATTAATAATCAATGTAAATGGCTATTATAAATCAGGTTTGCTAAGATAATATTAATTAAATATATTATCTACATGCTGTATAAATTGTTCTTTTTAGGATTCTGAAAATACCCATGCTAGTACATTAGCACCAGGCTGGGCACTAGTGCCTTATACCATGCTTGTACTTATAGATACAAAATGCTAAGTACAATATACTAGATACCATCGGGGAAATTAAATAAGTGTAAATCTGCAAAAATCTGGATTTTTGCAGATTTTTTGCAAAAAATCTGTAAAATTTTCTAGAATTTGAAGTTTTTTACAGAATTGTATTTTATTTCTGCATATATAGTTATTATTTTGAAGTTTTGCGCAGATTTTCATTTGATTTATTATTTAATTTTTTTGCAAAGCTGCGCAGAAC